TGGATAGTCAAACACTTCAAGAGTTTTCACCATGACTTTTCACTTGCCTTAATATACAAGAAAGAATGGGCAATTATTTGATTAATAAGTTGCAGGAATGATGAAATGATTCTTTAGGCAAAAAAAGATCCATTTTTGGAGAGATCCATCACTTGGATGAGCTGTCTCCAGTGACATCAGCTAACTTGTTCATTATGAGCATGCCTGCTTACTTCCCAGACATTGCCAGAGTTAGTTACACATCGATGCCCGGGAAACTACAGTCCTATATTTAGGTAGTGTATATTCAGGTACCCCAAAATACGCAAGAAGATGCCCAGATTTCAGTAGAGAGAGCAAGCAGATTTAGAAGTTCTACTTTGTATAACCATTCCCCAAATGACTCACTCTGCAGGAGAACCAAAGCCTGGCTGCATCAAAAATGAAAAATGTTTACCCCATTTCTGGTGTTTGACATTTAAGGACTGCACAGGACATCAGTCTGCCGCATCCCTGCCTTATCCCCCCCCCAGCACTGGCTCCAGGAAGGCCCCAGAATGCAGGTCTTGTCCACCAGTCTTCAGTTAGGGGGCCGCAATAGTTAGGTCACCTTCCTTACCTTCAAAAAGACCAAAGTCAACGCTACACAGTCTCACATGCAACTTTCAAATAACAGCTGACTGCTGGTCCCTGCATCTCTCAGAGAGAGGGGTTGTGGGAAGCCAGCGAGGGCCCGAGCAGATGGGAGCCGAGATGGCCAGGCAGCAAGTGGCTGCCAGAGTCACGCCACCTGGCCGTCTTCCCACAGTCTGGAGGGGGGGGCATGTGGCTGGCGACTCCATTCTGGCTTAAGGTGGCAGGCCTTCTCTCCCTTTCCAATTCCCTGACAGCCTGGGCAGATTTTCCTTTGGCTTTTTAAAATCCAGGACACATTATTCCTCAAAGTCACCAAGTTCCAGCTGCTGGAGGGAGAGCCAGCCTTTCGCTGTGTTGCCCCACCAGCAATGTTACGTCTTTATACCCAGGGAAACAGAAGGCCTTCCTCCATGCGGGCAAGCCCACAAGAGTTCGGATGCCGCCGCTCGGGTCCTGGGGACAGAGGGGAGGATTCACAAGGGCTGGCCGAGAGCCATCCCACTATCCCTGGCACTTGCAGCTCCACACGGAGCTCTGAGGCTCTTCAGGACAAAGAGGAGTGTTTTTATCAGCCCAACGTGCTGCTGACAAATGCATAATAAACTGACAGAAAGCAACCAAGCAGCATTTCAAAACCCCCAGTTACAGAGGAGGCCAAGCCTGAGCGGGGATGGTCACTTTCTGCAGGTGTTCGGCCAGTGTCCCCACATTTGCATAGCATTTGCATATACTGTCAAACAGTTGGCTGACAGAAAGTCTGAGGAGGTCTGGACACAGCCCAAACCTGTCAGTGGCTTTCTCCTTGCCAGTCAAGGTTGGCTTTGGCTGCAATTAAGGCAGGAAACGAATACTTCTGACATTGCAATATACCCAGCCACAGCTGGGCGAAGTTCAATGGAAAAGCGTGCTTCATGTGGAAAGACAAGATGTGTGCCGGAAAAAAGAAAGAAAAGGAAAGGAAGCAAGTGGTAGTAATGGCTCAGAAAGTGACACTCTAAACTCATTCTGCAAAAGGAAACAAATATTTTGCAGTGCTTCCAGGTTACTGTGCTGTGTTGTTGTTTGTTGTTTGGGTAAGTGAGCAGACTCCCACCATGAGTTAGGCCGATTCAGCGGGTGAGAAGAGCTCTCCAGACACTGCACCTTTTATCCTCAGAGTGTCAAGAATAATGTCAGGCAGAAGGGAGGAAGCAAATCCCCAAACTGCATTTCCGTGATACACACACATGCTACTCTGTAAGGCTCCACTGGGCCATTCTGGGTTGACAAATGGGTATCGGTGATCTGGATGGGGGTGAGAAAGTTGGAGGGAACCCGAGCACAAGTGTCTCGTTGTCCCCCCCACCACTCAGGACAGGGGGTCCCGATCATATTAGCATATGGATTGTGGTGGGAAAGAAACCAAAATCAGAGCCTTGGATACTGTAAGAGCGAATGGCCTCAAGAGACAGAGGGGCGGGGAAGGAAGAAAGCCAGATAAAAAGGTGGTCATTGTTTTTGAGATCACATGAGACTTATATTTTAGGGGGGGGCTGCATCCTTCTGAGATGTTGTTTTACAGATTATTTAAGCGAGACCTAACAATTTATTAAATACTTCATCTCTACACAGTGGTAGGCACTAGAGTTTCATGAGCAGTGAACAATAGATTCTGTTTATTCGCCAACAATACAGACACTGTTTAGCTCCGGACTGCAAGTGGCTGAGCCATCTGGCTCATATCTCCACAGTAAAACATTGTCCGTGACACAAAAAATGACTACATCCCCAGGACAAACTAGTGTGACCTCTAAATAAAGCCTTCCTCTGAAGCTATGATATCATACTGCACAGGGGACACCAGCACAATTGAATCTGGTCACCAAAAGCCCAAGTGAGATAGGACTATGTAAATGGAATTTTATAGGAGACTTTTTGTCCTCCGTGGCAAACCATCCAGATCCGTCCACAGCACTGAAACATCTTTTTCATTCACCCTTGGGACAACAGTGCGGTTCTATTTGGGGATTGGCAGTCCTCTTTCTCCCGCGCCGGCCCAGGAAGCTCACGTCTATGTTCCAGAGACAGCACCTGCAGCCTTTGCTTCCAACAACTTTTCACTGATGGAGGCCCCACCTGCACCAGCCTTTTTGCTGATATTTTGGAAACAAGCAGTCCTTTCTCCTCCCTGCCAGGGGGAAGGCCCAAGTTTGCCAGCTTCTTCACAAATAGCTGAGCAAGTCACTCGCAGCCTTGCGCCACCTGAATGCCCGCTTCACGAGGCAAACAAGCACACACACGCACACACACACACACACACTCACTCTCTCTCTCCCCATCACCCCGTCCAAGAAAGGGGCCATTTCAATGGGAGAAGTGTCATGCTCCAGAATAGACCCAATTCAGTCTTCTACAACCAAAGCATTTGTGTTCCTGTTTGGTGGGAAAATTTCATTACAGAAATTGAGACATGAAGAACAGACCAAAAGGCTGGCTTGGCTTAAGTATTCCACCTGTTCCAACTCCTGTGTGTTTTGTTTTTCAGAGAAAGAAACCCTGCCCCACCCCTGTGCATAAAACGCTTTGCACATAGAATGACTAGCAAAATAAGATCTCTAAATGCTTTCGACTATGAGGAGGCATTGTGTCGTTTTGCAGCCAGAGCCATCTGAAGTGATGACACATGTGAGAGAGAGACAGAGGGAGGTGAATCCCTCCAGGCACGTTTGCCTGTCCTGTCCTTCTGCACAAGCTACTGAACTTCTCAGTGCCTAGACATAGACGTAAAAAAGGACATTTCCTTTTTTATAGGATCAATATTTGGAAAATAGGTGAGAAATACTTAACATAATGCCTGGTAGATAGGAAGGGTTTACTAAGTGGGAGTGCTAACAATAATGGTAACAGATAATGGTGAAAATTACTTCTGTGACTATTGAAATTTCAGTAGGAAAATAACTTCCAGGATACTAGTCCCTCATTTAAACACACTTTGATTCTTGGTAATAGTAGCATTTATTATTATCATTGATATTTAGCATAAGCCCAAATTATTTGGCAAAGTTGGATTAAAAAACTGTACTTTTAGTTGGCTTGTCCTCCATCCTATTTCTGAGATAGAACTTACTCCAGGTAGTACAAAACCAGCCAGAATTTTATGTTAAGTTATTCTTGTGACAGTCATATTTTTTTAAAACTGAGAAACTGCATGTATAATTGCTATATCTTAAGGGTAAAGTCGTAGGCGCAGGCTTGATATCTAAAATGACTTATTTAGTTTTGTTTAAGTTCCAATAAATACCACGATTTCAATGGCTTACAATTAATTTAAGAGTAATAGTTCTGCTTTCAACACATTGGTTTCTAGAAATGAAGCTGTTTGTTGAAATTACAAAAACTGATTTTTCTAAGCATCAGTTAGTTGAGCAGATACAATCTGGCCCTGGAGCCTGGGGAATAATTCTTTGTAAAAATACCATAACTGTCATATTTATCCAACTGTGTACTGAATTCTGTGCCTTTTACAGTCCAAACTTTGTGACAGGTATGTAAATCAATTTAGCAAGACATGATGGTGTGGCTTCAATTACCATCTGTATAACTCCTCTGGACATTTTCAGTAGGAATTTAAAATGTTCCCAGGATGTCAAAGCTAATAGAAATTTCCATATGGAAAACCTTCCAGACTTTATATCTTTGGGAGAATCTAAAAAAAAATTCACTACAGACTCATACACACAAATCTCCATCTCTTTTCTGATAGGTCAATTTTTGGTTATTTTTAAGGCTTATGTGTGAAAACTGTTATACGGGTGGCATAATTTCTATGAATCCTTGTTAATTTCAATAGGAAAACTGCAGCCAGGGTAACGGGCAAACCAGGCATCAGGTCCTGGACCCCTGTGGAAGTCCAGCTAAGGACATCTATAAATGCAATTAAACTTAGAAATACACTTTTAGGATGGGAGGGTGGGGCCCAATCTAACGTGGGTGGGAACTACCTTTTAGCAAGTACAATGTGTCTACCAATACATAGAATGTTTACACCCTATGACCCAGAAATTCCACTTCTGGGACTATATCTTCCTGAGCTAGTCCTTTGAAGTGTCCAAGAGCATATGTACAAGGGGGTTGCTCATAATATGATTTGCAAAAGTGAAAAATTGAAGATAAGCTCATCAATAAGTGATGGTGCATCCATTAAAAAGAATGCTGGGGAACCATAGGCTCTATCTTTCCATCTATACCTGGATCTACCTCTACATAAAATTATCAAGAATGCAGCCAAGCCATCCAAAAGATGAAAAGAGCATGGCTTTTCATTGTTACAGCATGTCCTTGGGTGGTATTTACATTAAAAAAACCCCAAAACATAGGATCCTTTTGTACTTTAGAAAGTAACACAAGTGCTCCCTAGCACACATACTAAAACTGGAATAATACAGAGACGATTAGCATGGCCCCTGCCCAAGGATGACACACAAATTCGAGAAGCATTTCATATTTTTAGAGGATCTAATACATGCTCACCTAAGAGAAAAACTCAATTCAAGTTGGTGGGAGGGATATTGAGGGAGGGGAGAGAGGAGCGGTGGGGAGGAGATCGATGTGAGGGTATAAGAGCACACCTTTTGGGTGCAGGACACAACTACAAGAGGGACTCTACTTTTGCAAATATTACAATCTAGTTGTTTGTACCCTCACATTGCCCTGAAATAAAAATAAATAAATAAATACATAGTGACACAAAAAATACATTTTCCACTAACTGTTCATCGTCACATTGTCAGGCTGCAGTGTTTCTTGGCATAGTGGACAACCTTATAAGAGAGAAAGAAGGGAGCTTTGAGGGGTAAAACTTCCTGGATGTCCACTGTGAGAAGGGGTCAATGGCAAAGGTTGAGGGAGTCAGGCCCAAAGAGAAAAAATAATCCCTTCCCCTAAGGGACTTGTTATGTGGCATAAGAAGTCTGTGGTTAAAAAAATAGACACGCAGGAACTGAAGATTTGATTTAGACTATCTGTGGGATTTTAATGGTTGGCGGTTATTAATGGCTGATTCTACAACAGCAATCTGGGCCATACAGATCAGAGCCAAGATTGGGCCAAACGATGGCCCGTCCTGCCGCTTACAGGCTAAGGAACTTTGCTTCTTGGTGTCTCTGAACCTCAGTTTCCTTCTCTGTAAAATGGGAATAATCTTACTAATTTCTTCACAGGGCTGATGTAAAGTGAGCCTGGTAAATAGACCATGAATCTAGCGTTCTTATTCTCTTGCTATAAGAATAATAATTTGTGCTTAACCAGCCACATTCCGATCACATATCTCATCCGCATTTTCGACCCGGCAGATTGGGGTTGGAGGTTGGTAGACTCGGGACAAGAGCAGGCTCCTTTGTAAATGCTAAGCTCCAAATGAGGTAGGCCTTGCCAAACGGAAACAAGAGTCAAGGTAGCTGTTGAACCAAGGTGGCATTAGATCTATAGCAAAAATGCCCGCAGTGCCTACAGATGGCTCCCAGGCAACCCTGGCCCACCAGTGGTGTCTTCTGTTAGGGACACAGGGCTCCCTCCCAGGAGCAGTTGGTGGCGAAGCTAGAGCTGGTTTTAGTGATGAGCTACTCTTGGCTCCGCCAGGCCAAACTGCCTTGTCACCATGGTGTTTCAATTTCTTTCTGGGTCCCTCAACCCTTCTTCCCACTCCATTCCTACAACCTGCATGTGGCCCTCATAGGCCACCGTACTCTGAGCTCTACATTCCCTTCCCTGGTGTCCGTGTGCTTTCATGGGACAAATTCTCACTCTTCTAATTCCAGTCCCCACAAGAGGAATGAGAGGGTCCCACCCATCTTTTCAAGTTAGAAGAAGTAATCAGAAATTATGAGCAGATGGACAGTGACCACTCAAGCCTATCATAGGGCTGTGGGCGTGCAGACATGACTGCCACCACTAGCAACCAATAAGACCTAGGAAAGAAACTCTTCCCCCCTTTCAATTGGTCAGTGCTGCTTCTAGAGTCCCTGAATTGACTGGAAGCTGTTCCTCCTCTTCTCAGGTGCAAAGGGCCCTTGGGGCCAGTGGAAACTTTGGCTATGTTTTCTGCGACTAAAATACAAGTGTATTTGCCTGTAATCTAAAAGGCACGTTATTTTATTATCAATGTAACTCATAGCAACAGTGACCCAACATATCATGTGGGGCAGTTTACCTCGTTTCTATTACTAATGCTTGTGCTTTCCCCATGTACAGTGGTTTGCCTTTTGCAAACTACTTTCACACATTCTAATTTGCACAATATACAAGATGAATCGTATCTTATTATCACCATTCTATAAACAAAGAAAATGAGGCTCAGAGAGGTTGAGTGATTTAGCCAAGGTCACAGAGCTAGGAAAGTGAGACAGATTAGAACCCAGCTTTTCCGACTCTGAGGGTCAGTCTTCCTTACATGTTTTTGAATGTTTTATGGAGTGTTCAGAAAAATATTTGCTGAATGAACAAGATTTCACTTTCCACCCTCTCACCCGTTTTCCATTTTGGAAACCTTTCATCTTAAGGTTCAACACTCAATTAAAAAAAAGAAAAAAACTTGCCACAAGTGTAAATTTCTTTAAATAGTAGGAAAAGTTGAGGACAGGTATTTGGATCCACCAGTGAAACTCCTGAGATGGGCTTGGCAGGAAGTAAGAAGTGCCCATACAAAGTGTTCTCACTGTTGAAAGAATGCCCAGTCATTACAACAGAGAGGGGATAATAGACTCATGCTTTATGCCTCTTGCAGAACCTCTGTCCAGCAGAGTTGGTGTCCCGTGTATAGGGTCTCTAACCCCTCCCCAGCCCGTGTGCAACGGACAGGGCTCTGGGGATTCCCTCCTTCCTCCCCTTTTTCCTAATTAAAGATAGCTTCTCCTCTCTGGCCTCTGAGCAGAGATGAGTGACCCAAGTGGACAAGCTGACTTTAGACTCTGTCCTCTTGTGTATCAAAAACTGGTAGACACACTCCTGTTCCTTGGATGTGATAGCCCTTGTAATAATCTGGGCCCACATTCCTTCTGATCACATTTTTGTGGCTCTGAAACCTATCACTGGGTGACAGTTTGCAAAAGGGGCCAGATTGACCCTGTGAACAAATTCCTTAACCAGTGGAAAACTTGGCTGTGTTTTCTGTGACTAAAGGGAAAGAGACTTTTCTATTCAAAATTACCCTGAAGCCATTCAAGGTAAACAACTTGCCCAAGGGCAAGGAGCTAACTGCTAAGAGAAACCAGGCCCAGTAGAATCAGGGTCTCTGGACACTCAGAGCAAAGTCCTGTACTATGAGCAAGCCACCATCAAAGGATGTGCTCAATCCAAATGATGTCAGCACTGGCCAAGGAAAATAGAAGCCCAGGGACAGAAACTGTCAGAGGGTTCTCACCTTTCTGAGTCTGAGTACTCAGAGTCCTCTTTGGACTGCCTTCTGAAATCTGAGCCCTCTAGAGAAATGCCCTTGGTAAGTAAGCAAATGAATGCGTAAATGGGCTGATGAGCCAACCAATCGCACCCCACATCTAATGGGATGAGGCCAGTATGTTAGGGCCCGTCAACTTGGAATCCACACATTGAATCAGAAGAATGTTGTACTGCCTGCCCTCCTCATAGAAAAGAAGGACAGAAGGACAGTGAGCAAGTAGTCTCTGGCAAAGCAGACGGAGAAGGGGCTTCTGCAGTGACAGTGGTCACTGGGAGAACAAGAGGTTGGCAGTCCCTGACCAAAACTCTAACGGGATGAGATGTTTCTGCAGAAGCATACAGAAGGGTGAGTATCCTGAGTGTCCCCTCCTTCCTCACAATAGGCAGGCTCTGCCATCGTGAAGAGCTGCCCAATTGGGGCAGTCTTCTGACATATAAAAGTACCAGATCTGGCCCCAGGTACCGGCCTCAAGAGTCCTCCTACCAGAGCACAGTCTACATTTGGCAAGAAGGTTCCTCCCATTTGACTGGCCCCAAATATGAGAAAAGAGGTGGGGCAGGACAGCTCTTCCTTGTTTGAGTGGCAGACAAGTGTCTGTGGTCAGTAGGCAGGGAGACCTGTGAAGCAGACTGCAAAGCCACCCAGCCATCTGGCCCATGCTCCTGTGACCTCAGGAGCCCGCTTTGCCCTGTTCCCCCAGCACCAGCAGCCCACCTCACAGGAGACACCCATTAATTATGGAGAAATACTGAAACAGGGGCAGATAAATTGTCATGTATTTTAAAGATTCATTTTTAATATGGAAACACAATGAGAACCAGTTATTCACAGAATAACTACAGGGCTTACAAATGTTTCTTTCATTACATGTTAGTGTGGCCTGGCTGTGGGGCCCAGTGTGAGCTGTCACTTTGCAATTGGCCTCCCTTTTAGGGACTGTATGCACAGCTTTGTTCCGAGAGTGCACCAAAGTCTAGATCTGAGGTCTGGGACAAGCAATGCCAAGGCAATGCCTCTCCTGTCCCTCCCTTTATTGGATCCAATACTTTTACAAACTAGTAAGTTCAACTTCCCCAGAATCTATCTGGCTCTGGTGCTGAGGAAGCAGGAACAACTCCAGCTTCTTATATGAAGCTGAATGTTCATCCAAAATTGCTTCCTTCTTGCTTTGCCATTTGTAGACATGACCCAAGTTGAATGAGTCTTCATTTTTGGCATAAACACCTTGCATCCACCTCACCCAGCCTCAGGGTCTCTCTGTCTTCCAGTTCCTGGCTCAGTTCCTGAGAAGATCTAAACTACTATGAACTCACCCAGGCCACAAGGATCCCCTTGAAGGTACCCCCCTCCCTGCCACCCCACACCCACCCCATCTGGAAATTACGAAGTCCTTATGGACTTTGCTCTTTATACTTTCACAAAGAATGCAAGATTCCGCCGTTATTTTAAGAACTGAATAGAAATCCCCGCATCACCATATCAGGGCGGCTGTTCCACGCCAACTCAGTAATTGCCCTGTTTCTAGTGCCTTTTTTTTTTTTCCTCCACCAAACCAACTTAAGCTGATTACCGCCATCTCAAACAACCTCACTGGGCTCTAGATATATCCATTTAATATGGCCAGGACAAGCAGCCAACTGCTGTTTTCAAAAGACGATCTGACAGATTCTATTCACTTTCAAAGTAGCTCTCCACGGCTGGAATAATTATCTTTCATTTCCCTCATTCTGACACCTTTCAATGATTTGTTGACATCTGAAGAGTTATGGGCAATCTTAGAAGAGGCAGCTGGACTTTCCACCCCTGAAGATACAAATACAAAAAAAAAAAAAAAAGAAAAAAGATTCCCATACAGCATCTGAAATAACTCTGTTCTTTGCACATGGATATACAAATCTGCATGTTAATAGGGACACTGTTATCTTTAAATATAACCTCAAAAAAAAAAAAAAGAAAAGAAAAAGAAAGAAGGGTAGTATTCATTTAACTTGTTCACTGCCAGCTCAAGAAAGTGGTACACCTTTCCCTCAAAACCAGGGTTTCCTCCCTTGACCC